GGGGGGGGGGGAGGGAGGTGAAACTGCTCCGACCTTCAGCACCGGGGACAGCTCCAAGTCCACAACAGGCTGCGTGCCGGACAGCAGCCGCAGAAAGCACCGTGAAGGTTACACCGGGGATCGAGCGACCACATCCGATCAGAGGGGGGGCAGGGGGGGGCGAAGGGGGGGGGGGGACCCTAACAAAAAAAAGCCAAGTCGTTGAAAAAAAAAGCAAAAAACAACAACAACCCAAAAGCTCAGTCGATGGGTCCCACACTTTCCGGGGACAGGAATAAATAAGGCGTCCAATCACGTCGCGTCTCTCGCCGCTGCGTTAGTCCGTCCGGCACGCGGAGAGAGCACGAGCTCTGCCGGAGCCCATGCACAGCTCATCTCGTGCGAAACCAGTCCCCGGCTCGGCTCGCTCAGTCCCACAGTCACAGAAAGGCGCTGCGCCTCTGTGGAGTACCCGCTGCATCCATCGCGTCATCTCCCTCCCTCTCCCTCCCTCTCTCTCCCTCTCCCTCTCTCTATCCCTCTCCCTCTCCCTCTCTCTCTGTCGGCCTCTCTCTGTGTGATGTGAATTTCTATTGAACGATAAAAAACATCTAAAATGCCATGTTGTAACTATGTATTCTTTCACCGTATTGGCCCAGAAATGCACAATCCCAGATATCCCCACATGTACAGTACTGTAGGTCAGAAAATGGACACGTTTGATATATTCTAAATGTTAGCAGGAGAGTGTAAATTGCTTGATGTAGTCTTTTTTTATACCCTTTTCCTTGTAAATGACTTTCACACCATGAGCCATATAGAGTGTAATAACTCTAAAAAACGTAGAAAATGTTGCCAATACCAAGCTTCCAAATTATTACCCATAAGATTTTCTTTCTATCACTTTATTAAACAGAACCTTAGCATTTTGTCTTCTTAAAGGAAAATGCTGAGGATGAAGCCCCGGCACACTCTTTGTAGATATATGAGAAATGTACATTTGTTTGTCTTTCTGCAAAAATAAATAAATCTCAATATACCAGAGATCATCTCCTTAAAGAATACTTTCTCTCTTTTCTAAATGTATAATTTTAAAGGAAGATGTGTTTGCACATGCTACAGGGAGACACACACATGGGAAATATAAAGAATGTGGTTCATGAAACTATCTCCATATTTAAAAAAGTTAGACATGTGCAAACCAACTCGTTTTTGAAAGATGCCATTTTATTTATCGAAATCAAAAAAAATAATTTTCTAAGTTGAAAGACGGCCCGATGAACTATAAAAGGATCCCCCCCTCCAACGAGCTGTTGCCATAATCACAATCCTCAGGCTTTTTTTTTAAGCCACTTCTCAGAAAATCATTGGGAGTTCCAGACCAAGCATCGATTCTGGAGACTTCACTGACTTATAGTTTATCCATATCCTTTCATATCTTTACCCCTAAAAGTCAGTCTTTGTTCGGCAAGTAGGTCCTCCACCATGCGAGCTAACTCAGACATGTGATCAGGCCGTGATTATAAACAGTTTTGCTACATCATGATAGACAGCTGAACACAATTCCGGAGCCGAACCCTCCGTCCTGCCAACCCTGAATCCTTTCCCAGCTGTTTAACTCTCAGCCACTGCGCAGTGTATCGTATGCCAGAGTGGCATAGATCTGCTGGCTGCCCCAGACACGGAGACTTGTAAATATTCAATGGTGTTTCACAGAACAAGATCTCTCTCGCCACTGCTGTCACCATCTGTGAAAGAGGGAAAGAGTAGACGGATGGAAAAGGGGCAGATTTCACCACTGCCGCCGCCTATTTCACTGACACCCAAGCTTTTTAGACGGGACGCCTTTCTGCTCGTTGGAGAGTAAACATAGGCTTACATCTATCTGCAAAATGGGCCTTTCTAATGCAACAGTTCCTGGTGGCTAATGTTCAAACTTTAACGCCCATCTATCTCCCAAATAACCAATTGTCTGTCTTTCTGTGAATAATGCACAGTTAGTATGAAGCAGGCCCAAAAATCCTTTACTCACACCAAGATACCCTTATCAGCTCAGTAGTTTTTTTTTTTATGCCAAGTCTCTGCCGTATATAGGTCGATTGATAGACAGAACCCAATCAGAGGCCCTTGCCCACCTCCACCTGCTGACACCGTCACTTATAAGCACCATCTGTACGACATAGTAACCGATGTCCCTGCTATTAACTGCCATGGAACAAAAGAAACCAGTAAAAATGGGGCCTTGGCATTGAGAGGACCTACAGGACAGAGCTTTGATCCTGTGTTTCTGCTCCTGTGGAGTTTAGGTTTGTGTGATCTGGCCTGTGCACTATAACAGGCTAATGTTAAAAAAAACTGTTACCGGTAGTCAATAAGCTAACATGAAGAGCAATACTTGAACACTGAACTGCACTTGTCAAGCTTTTTCTAGCTGTGTCTATGATGTTGCGTTCTAATTATTTTTGGCAGGATTATAGATTTCTACTAAAGGGGTTCAAACAATGCAATTAGTCATAGTGTTTTATACTCCACACTGGATCTCATGTAAGTCTGATAGGTAGGCACAAAGGTGATAACTTAAATCATTTCAAGTGCCTATAAGACATCATGCCAACCTCTGTCAGAAAACAGCCTACTCAGAAAAATCATTTATTTGATCTACCGATACCAATCCAGAAAAAAGCTCAACACTTCTACTCGCCTACACACTTAAAGTCAAGTCGTCGACAGGAGACACAAAACATTCTTAAATAGAATAAGCAAAAAAGGAGCAAATAACTAGATGTTTTATATTTTACATGATACAGCTGGATGTTTTTTTCCCCCTCAGAGTCAAAGCTTTCTGCCAGACGCACTGTCAGACACACACAAGAGTCACAAAGGATGCCTAGCGATTCTATTTTGAAAAGAAAACAGAAGTTAACGAAATGTGCAAAATCAGAGAGGCGTCGGGTTATCACAGAGCTTTGTTTAAATCTCTTGAAACATTTTCTGAACTATTTACAACGACAAAAAATCCCTTTTCCATTGTAAAGGTACCACTATTGACCATGTGTTTACTTGTTTTTTAACTGCTTTCAGTTAAGTCAGAGTAGCTCCCATTATAACATGATAGACTCACAGATTAAGCTGAATTTTAAGACAAGTTGTCTTGTTTGGTTCACGTCTAGGCTGCTGTATGCGCTTATGCACGTAGAATTTTATGGACGATGTTTGCGTTTAGACAGAGGATACACATAAAAAGGTTTTGCTGACCACTTTGTCCTCCTGTTGCAATTCCATGAGAGCAGGAATGCAGCGGAGAGGAAGGAAAAGGGAGACAGATGGGAGGGGAGTGGGAAAAGAGTAGGAAAGACAGGGGAGAAACACAGAGTGAGTGGCGTTAAACAGCTCCCGGTAGCAACTGGGTTGTATTAAATCAAATAGAAAACAGTCATTATTCAAATTCAAGCTGCCTAATACTAAAAGCTCTGGCTTAGCATGTGAAGAGGATTGGACAGAGGTTAGTTATGCACCGGAGTGCAGCGTTACACAAAAAGCAGCATCATGTTCCTCTAGCGGAGGAGTAAAGGACAAACAGCGCCTCCAAGTGGTGAAACAGGACACATGTACATTTTAAAACATGAGGGAGAACTACAACAAACAGCTGGCTGAACTCACACCCACTGAATTACAAAGGAGACTGGGGAGGGGTTTATTTGTATATAAGACATAGGTGTGTGTCGGCAAAGGTGAGTCAGCCATTTTTAGAAATACTGAATAACCAGCGTTACCTTATTTGACCGCAGAGACACTCGTCCTCCGCACCTAGCACAGAATTTTGTTTGGCAATATGAACAGAGGTGACCACAGCCGTCGGCAAACTTGGTTTTGTGGCATATCCCACAGGTCGGGGCTTCGCTCTTCTGCTCCTGGACTGGCTTAGTCTCCTCTCCCATCTTCTTAACCTGGTCCTTATACGATTCAAACTGCTGGTGTAGCTTCCTGCAAGTGAATGAGAAAGATGGAGGTTATGATGGTGTAGTGCTTATCTACATATTGATGGATTTGAATACAAAGTAAAAGCGCACACAGAAATTTTAAAAAGCTCATTTTGAGTTAACTTCCCTTTTTTTTAGCCCTTTTTTTAATACATACTGTATTCAGATAGTACCGTTTCACCCCAGATGTTTCAGGGAGCATGACCTATGGTTGCTGTTCAATCAGCTTTGACATGAAGGAAACTTTACTTAGTATTTCTTTCCCTGTTAAAGCACAACGGGCAAAAAAAAAGTATGCATTTGTGGCAGCAGTCATAACAGATTTTCAGCTGGAGAATTATCCTTAAAGTATGAACCGTGGCTTTGGACTTTTTCTTTAAACCACACTTGCACATTAAGCCTCTGCCTTAAGCTGACTAAGTGATAGAACCGATGTGTGCATTGAGTCGGATTTTTTTACATTTTTTTTTCCTATTTTAACAGAAAAGCAGACACCGTGACCTCAGAAGCTTCAAATCTATGCTCCTCCGTTAATAGCGCACCTCTTAAAACACAGGGTTTGGGGGGGAGGGTGGGTATCGAATTTGCTTTGCAAGTTTAAGAACATCACTTAATTCCACTTTCTCAGGTTCCCTGCGTTTAATGAATCATTTGCACCTGTGTTTCTATATCAGGACACTTGTAAGGGGAGACGGAGAGCAGCCTTGAGGTATACTGTTAGATAATACCATCAACAATACACACGATTCTTAGCTTGATGTTTCAACGAGAGGTAATCGTTCGCTGTCACGGGTGGCGGAGCCCACCTTCTAGTAAACTTTTTTTTTTAGATTTTTCTCAACTGAGCTACTGACTGTGACCTCCAGATGTCCTCAGAGCGGTGTAGTGCTCATGATCTGGTACAGTAGCTACCTAACTCCCAACAAGTTCACAGAGACGACTATATAAAACGCCCCAAAAAAAGAAAAGCACGGGCTCTTCACATGCATTTTGTATGACACATGTCAATTGAGCGTCTCCTTGGAAACTAAACACTGGGCTGACTTCATAATATGGCGATTAGAATTGGTTTCGGCCCACATATCTCCTGCAACATTCATTAGCTCTTGTGAATTATTGAGCAGAGCTATCCTTTTACCACAAACAGCACTGCGTTTGAGATAAACGCGCTTCCTTTTCCCACAAACAAGCTCTTTAGAGCCCAAATGTAACGGCCAAACACTACCTGAAGACTCAGTCTGCCTAGTCTGTGAGTGTGTGTGTGGGTGTGTGTGAGAGTCTGGCATCAGAACGTCAGACAGAGTACACACTGACGTGCTTGAAGTTGTATCCATGGAGGGATTAAACTGCTAATTATGTCACAGCCTTTGTGTGTTTATCAAGCAGAGATTAGGCTGGTATGTAGCTTTGTTTAACAGATTTGTTCTAAATCACATTTACTGAGAGTACCTGATAACAAACTGATATAGATTATGATATGCAGGCTGAAGCAACTGTCAGGATCAAGTACATATATGCTTTCCCTTAATCCCCTTTCGCGTTGCATTGCATTTCTAGAAACATGCTCTGGATCCTGGAACACTGCATGGACTGGGGTCTGCCCCAAAAACTCACTGCGAAGAAAAATCTGATGAAAATGCTAACTATGACCACCTTTCCCTGCCTTCCTCTTTGACAAGCTACTTCTTTTAAAAATAACTAAACTCAATCTTCAAAAATGACAGGTTTGACTAAGTCTGGATTCATTCTTAGCTGCAGACTAGGCAGATAGCAACAGGTAAAGAGACAGATGTGTTGAATTATTAACAACAACAAAAAAAGAGCAAGTAAAAAAAAAAAAGAAAGACATATAAATAGATGATGTTGGCGGCAGGCAGCTGGTACGCTGTGTCCAGTCTGAAGGGGCTGCTTATTGTGTCAAACACGGTCAAATGTAGGTGACACTGCTGATGAGTAATCATACGCTACTCATTGTCCGATTCCATGCTAGCGTATCGGAGCTCTCTTACCTGTGGGCCAGCAGCTACACACAGGCAGAAACCCGAGCCGCCCTCTTGGACATATGACAGATTCAAATGCAAAGGTGAACACCACGATCTCTACAAGCCTCTGGATTCTTCTTATCTCGCGACTTATCTGAACTCAGTGTCTCACTCCTCTGTAACCCTTTAAATATTATGTTAAGACGGAGAAGTAAATACAGCTAAGATCAAATCAGCACATCACTGCTACTGACCTAAAATGCTTTCAATTGAAACACACGCATTCATATACACACACACATAATATATGAATGATCAATATGTCAAAAATAAACTGAAGCAGTTTTCAAATGTTTCAATGCTCTTCTCTATTCTGATACCATGAGAGCTGGATATATCATGCTAATGGAATATTATTTAAGATATACAGTATTACTTTGGTATCACTTTTGCTGTTAACCCTAGATTTAGGTGGGAAAACATGGAAAAAATTATGTGCTATGTATGATCATCTATTTTAAGCCATACAAGGGACGATATCCGAGAGGTACTCTGAGATAGGATCTGCCCACCACTACCCACATAGGGAGTATAGAAAAATGGGTGGATGGATGACTGGAATATTAACATAACAAAAGATGACAAAATATTAAACCAGTAAATGGTTTAAATCAGACATTGATTTAAAAAGAAAGAATGATAATCAAATATCTTACTAGATTTTATCAAAGCAACCAACTTTTCAGTTTTTGCTTAGAATTAAGGTTTTCAGTGGCGTATAGCGCATTTACAAATTCAATTTCAAACCAGCAGTTCATGAACCTACTAAAGTTACTCATTTAGCTGACTCCTTTCTTTCTCGTCTTTTCCTCCAAGGATCAAGTCTTCTTGATTTTTTTTGTTAATTGCTTACCTGGCTTCTAAAGAACACCTGATTATGCAGCTTTTGTGGGGGACTTGAGTCTCTTCAACACCGACAAAATGTTACTAAAATGCCATTTTCTAGCAGTTTCACGCCACATGATAAATCAATAGACCACCATAAACCTCAGACCAGACTCTTTGACGGAACTAAAAACCAGGACAGCTTGAAGAACAATCTGCAAAAGTCGGCACTGTCCATGGCTCCATCCGGAAAATTCATATTTGAATTGATTAAATCTGTGTGTACTGACATTGTTGTAGGTTTAAGGCTATTACACTGTAGTGAAATAAGGACAAATAACTTTTCTAAATTAAATAAGCTCATAAGATTAACTCACTGAGTCATCCTAAGAGTCCAACAACTGAAGAAAAAGTAACTAAATAAACAAACAGCATCCATAGTTTTCTTTCTCTGTTTCCTGTTTTTCAGCATTTTTTTTAAACAACACTGCCCAAATAGCCCATAAAAAATTACCAAAAGATACAGTAACGGCAAAGAAAAGCTACACCCAAAAATTTGATGTGCCAGGACATAAGACAAAACAAAAAAAATCTCTGGAAAAATTTGGGGTTATCGATATTAAAGCACAAATAACACTGTGTCATCATTCATACAACAAAAGAGACAAAACACTTGCTACCGATGAAAATCTGAGCACTCCTTTATGTTTTCTATAGAAATTAAAAGGGAAAGTAGCAGCTGGGAGCTGATCGAATGCACTTCAATAATCTTTGGCAGGAAGCCGCCTCTATTAAAGTAGACTTTTTCAAAGTTTGCTGGTCTGGGGTATTCAGGTGTATCACAGTTCCAAGCAATGCTCCAAGCACAACATCTGTTCCTGCACATCCAGGGAAGGGTTACCAAAACACTAACCATTACCAACAGGGCCATTACTCATTCTACCGAAAAGCAAGGAAATAAGTGAGAAAAACATTGAAGACAGCTAATTAATAATCTTTCCCGGGAGCTGGCAGCTTGGCCCAAGGCCCTCAAACTGTGAGATAACCATGCAAACCTGCTCCGACTCAACAGACCTCACTCACTGAGCAGATACATCTTGTTCGCAAGGGCTGCCACGGGGGGGAAGATTATCTCCCTCCCAAAACAATATGCCAACACTTCATAGATTTTGCGAAGCCGCATCTGACCAAACCACATGACTTCTGGAGAAATGTCTTTTAAATAGAGCGGACCAAAATGGAGGTGTTTGTTGCAAACCAACCCCAGCTTCTCATCTCAAACACCTCGTTCAAACTGTGACGCACCTCGGTGGAGAGATACGCATTCTGAAATCTGTAAGCTAGCCAACTATTTTTATGACAATTGTGAAGCTATCCGTCCGACAGATTCGTTTAGTTCAATTATTGGAATCAAATTCAAATTTCATGGCTAAAAAAGAAAATATGTTGAAGAAAAGAAAATCCAGGCTCTCACTAAATTGAGATGATGTGGCAGAATTAAGAGAGCTGGGCAAGTTGTCAATGCATTGAAGAAACCTTCCCAAATTTAAGTTGGTCCAGTGAAAGGTGGTGCTACAAAGCTACAGAATCTCAGGCTTTCTTAGGTTCTCAAAATCTGCTTCGAAATTTTGACTTGGCTTTCAGTATAAAACTAGATTAGGTAATGACAACGATAATAAGTTTTCATATCTCAAACATTGTTTATCTGAGGTTGTATTGAAGACCTTATTACATTTGAATTGAGTGTATTTTCCACTTTTTTCACATCCCTGCAGTTACTAAAACGGAGTGCCCCATTGTTCAAATTCATTTGTGTTGTTCTTTTGCATTGTCTGGTCACAGTAACAACAACTTAACATTGTTAAAAGAGTCTTTTTTGAGCCAAAAATACAAATTTTTATTCTTTTTCTTTCTTTTTTTACAAAAAATAATACCATACCTTAAATAATGACTAGTAAATATCTCAATATTATCCCACCTTTCATGCCACAAATGTGCAATTTTGGCTGCATACCAAGTAATGCAGTCAAAGGAAGGGCTTGGTGATATAAAGACATATGACAATAGTCTCCGTTTGCCTTTTCTGTCCCGCGAAAATTAACTATACATCATTTACAGCATTGAAATTATTATTGTGTAGTACTTCATTTAGTCAAACATGCTGTGCAGTCTATTGTTTGGGTCATCACAATATATTTGTTCCTGATGGGAGGAGATCAGAATGAGTCTGCGCTGGTACTTACGTGTCTGGCTCTGGCTCCTTGTCATTTTGGGACTTTTGCTGGGGCTGGAGAACGTTATTTACCAGCTCAGTAATGCCACTAAAGGGAAACCACCTGTTTAAACAAGCAAAATTTGTCTGAAACATCTTAATGAGTCACTGTGGCAGAGACCAATTCGGCCTTGAGGTGCCATTTGGAAAGCGGGGGTCGGTTTCAAGGAGTGAAAAATAGCAATAACATTCACTACAACCAGAGCAGAGAGGGGAGAGGGCCAGGGTATGGGCAGAGTTGCAATTACTGGAGCACTGACAACAAGAGACGGTGTCGAAAATACAGCCAGGAAGATAGACAGAGGACATTAAAATGAGATCGACAGACTGAAAGAAGGCAGAGGGACAGTAAAAGCTGGAAAGCTCTGCAGCCAGTGAAAATGAAAGCTGCATTAAATGCTCAGATAAGGGTAAAAGGAATACAACTGATTCCAGCTTGTTGGTGAAGTGGGCGTCGAGTTGTCGGACTAGGTAGCTCTACAAGCAGATTCAGTATAAATTATATTATATCAAAGAAAAGGTCAGGACAGGTTAAAAAAATCCACATTTGTAATCATAGTATGAGGCCGCGCAAGCCAATAGGAGTGCAGATGATAGACTAGATGAAGATGTGAAGCCAGTTGAAATCCAGGAAAAAGGGAAATGTTCAGGAGTCTGGCAATTTAAGAAAAGTAAATGCCGGTATAAAGGTTAAGCCAATGCCATTAATGTCACGGAAGTCAACCGTTTAGTGCCTCTAAAATTGACCATTAGGAGAACAGGTCAACTCACTTAGGGATGTCAAAAATAATGACTGAAAATTTTCTGGGCTACCACTATCCTGTAATCAAGTGGTCACGTGAGCCAAAACAGATTTTCCTTGACATTAATGCCATTTTCATTCATTTAATACCCAGACAAAGAGGAGAAAGCCACATAAAGCACACTGCACTGCCTGCCAGGAAGAAGTGTCAAAGCCTAGAGCACTCTGGGTAATGCAGTTTACTTACTGTGCTGGCTGAGGCTTTGGTTCTTCTTTGATCCTAAAACATAAAAAAAAAAAAAAAAAGGCGTGCACAGCTCAGTGCATACAGAACACAAATAAATGATGAAAACAATCTAAGAGACAGTGATGATGTCACAAAGATGTGCATGACATTAACTGTTTTATAGTGATTGAATGCAAACAACAATAGTCATAATGGTGGTGAGTTTTAAATAAAAGATTAAGGAAATAAAAACATTAACAGAGTAAGTTCAAAGATGGACAGTGGCAGTTTTTCAAAGACTATATTTAAAAATGACATGAGATAGATCTTTAGCTTATCCCAGCGCCGGCCTGATGCCAAATGCTAGCCAGTCTCCCTATCTGAAGCTATTACAGGCCTGACAAATACCTTTGACAGTCAACTCATAATTGTGTCCCTTAAACACAAACAAGAGGGGGAAAGTACACGAGTGTAGATGAAACAGCAAACCATGTAGGAAGATACCTGATTATTTCGCCAAACCATCTCTAGAAAGCACCAAAAACTGGGGTTGAAAGTAACTCTGTATTCACTCCTCACGACGCTAATAGCGTTAGCCGTTAGCAATACAAGCTAATTTACGGTGACGGGTAGCTTTGCATTTAATGCTAAACCAACAGTGATATGTGGTCACAATAAAGCCTAAATACCTTACCTTGACTAGTTGCAGACCTTCATTAAACATTTAACCCCAATGTGAAAACTTAGTCCAATTTTTCACTTGGTGTTAGCACCTGTTGTAGAATATTAAGGTAAACCATTTTCCATACCCATTTTAACATTTCAGTTTCTCATAGCATCAAAGTATGCACACACTTCCATATCAACAATGTCTTAGAGGCTTTTTGCTAGCAGCACACATGCAACATATTTAGATTAATTAGGTATAATTTAAAAAAAACTTAAGTAACCATAGCCCTCAATGTCATCCTATTTAAACTAACCAGAAAGTTGAAAATTCTTGTTTAAAATGCCTTGGAGTTTGAGACCACAGATAAACCAGGTTTCATGAATATCCAAATGTTGAACTGATGTGGTAAAGGTTAGGAAAACAGAACTTCTTATAAACATCTTTCTTTTCACCCCAAATTTTACCTTGTCAAATTGTTTTTTTATTGAAACACAGTAATGTGTCAATTTTGAACTAAATCAAGAGCCTTCATATAAACTTCGACTATGAAACTTAGAGTATCGTATAAAGTTAAATATACCCAGTCATATAAACAATGACAGTTAAAGTTGAGCTGTATTTGCATTTATTCTCAAATATCAGGGCACACTTTGATTGCATTATCTTCCAACAAATATCTGTCTCGATGAATGGACATTTTGGGTAAGACTCACAACTAGCATGCATTTTAGGAGATAATCAGTAGATCAAATAATTTAACACTATTGACAATAAACATTTATTATACTCACGAGTATTAAAATAAACTGTCCCTAATCCTTACCCCAACACACACAGGGTAATGCCCTTCTCTTGCATATGTGCTCAATTGAACACTATCCACTTATCATCGCTCTTCTGTTTGAAAATGTCTTTAAGATAAACAGAGCTGCAGCTGAGAAACTCTCACAAGACATTCACCCACCTGATCACCACTTATTTTACAGTTGGCTTTACGTAGCTGTGTGAAATGGAATGTGTTAATTAGATTTTGTCAGTTTTTCACCAAGACACAGCAACAATGCTAAATCCCCCTAACTATTTAGCCAATCTGCTCGACTTAAAATAGTTCTTCTATCATTCAGAGATGCTCTTAATTTAATTAAATAGGATTTATAGTCGTGGCATTTAAACTCCTACTTTTTAAAATCCCACCTGAAAAAAACATGTAATTTTAGTTTTGAATTTAATCTCAGATTGACTACCACCACATATTTTAAGTTGTAATGTCTTGTGTTAATATATTTCTATTCCATTTGTTTTCTTTTCTTTTTTCATGCTTTTAAAAATATTTTTGTTAAGCTGGTTGTTGTTCTGTGCGCCATAGAAAAGTCGATTAGACATAGCTGACATACATTTGGGACATTTGATAGGAGTAGCGTTTCTCAATTTTAGATGTCCCATCTCATAACCCCAGACTCTCCTAAAAGATAAAACAATTTACAATCGTTTTTTTATCAGCAGTCCTTTTTTATCACCTTATGGCTGTGAAAACTGTGGGCAAACTCAGAAACATACGAATACAAAAGCCATCAACTTACGCAGAGGTTTGCCCTGGAGATCATGTTCTAATGCTGCAACAGAGGAGTCTCTAAGAAAGCCTCTATAACAATAAACCACGATTAGCAAGCGCTATTCCAGAACTTGTATCTTACTCGGACAAACGGATTTCTCATACGAATGAATGAATTTGTCACAATCACTAATAACAGAGAAGATTCATTAAATATTTAAAGCACATATAAAGTAACATTCAATTCTTAGACTTCACACTAATCCCAGTATGTACTCTTCTACCCCCAAACAAACACCGAAGCAAATCTCACGGCAAGTATCAGAGACTCTTTTAGCAAGAGGAACAGCACAACAAAGTGAGAAATCTGCCCGTGTGATCTGTGTCAGATGGGTGTGAGAACACACGAGAAAAGATATAGTCCTGTGTACCCATCAGTCTCGCTGGTCTGTTTCCCGATGAGCCAGTCCATATTTATCCTCTCACTGAGTTCTGCCGATGACCTGCAGCGCCGTTCTTTATTGATCCCATCAGCCTCGTCTCTGTGGTCGCATTACAAGCCTCATATTTATCTGATCGAGCCTGCTGCCTTGCCTGCCTGGACAGCTGCCGGGCAGAATGTTTGTGTGTGAGCATACGGCCGCGCATAAGTGTGTGTGGGTGTGTGTGTGTGTGTGTGTGTGTGCTTCCATATCCACACATCCTTGTGTGTGCTGGACTCATATGTGTGATGCCTGTGCAAAGTGAGGGAGGGAGGGAGGGAGTACGCTGTGTATTATTTGACACGGGGCAGTTAAATGAGTGAGTGTAAAATGTCACAAGTGACGTATTCCATATCCTGGCTGCTAAGGAGACCTGCAGGGCACATATGGTCTCTGTTTTCCATCTCTTTTAGACCGCACTCCCATATCCCATGTACCCACATTATGCAAAATACAGAGAGAAACGTAACACCAATAGATGTTCAAAATGGGGTTGTGTTGCACTGTAACATAAAAACCTGCTTTATTGCTCTGTCTTTGAGTTTCTGCCCTCATATGTCAGTGGCTTTTTAAACAGGGGTCCAACAGTTACTAACCCGACACTGCTCTCTAGTGGAGAGACGTGCTGCACAGATTTCTAGAAGTTACTTTCTTTTATTGAGGAGATTCATTTCAATACACTTTTGCCATTTTAGTCACCAAGCACTGTCAGATCTGAAAATGGGGTGAAGAGGTACTGGAGTGTGTTAGGACCGTCCAAAGTTGAAGCAAGAAAGTTATTTATCAATTGGTCTTTTGGGTCAAAACGCTTCTGACCAAAAATAGTTCACAGTTCGATGGTAAAATGATGCCAAAGACAAAATATTCAGTCATTCGTTAAAGTTAGGCCACTGTTATGCCACACATAGATGAAAGCTTTTACTGTAAAAATATATTACACTAGAATTACTAGGTGATTGCCCACATCATTGATATTTAGAAATATCCAGCCGTACTTAACCCAATATGGCATCCAGCTCCTGGTGCAGTCTATGGTTATTTCATTGACTATTGCAACGCTCTCCCGATTGGTCTGCCAAAATTGTACTGTAAAACGTCTCCAAATGATCCATCTCAGGTCTCCAATCAAACCTTAGGGTTAGAGTTAGGATCCGACATCAGCCCTCCATTCCTTGATCTTCACTGGCTACCCCTTTGCCTCCCACATCAAATTCAAGTCCCTGATGCTGGCCTACAAAGTGCTTAAGGGTACGGCTCCCGTCAACTTGAACCCTCTCGCAAAGGCTTATGTCACATCTCGGTCACTCCGGTCATCAATGGACTGTCGTCTAGCAGTGCCTGCACCACGCTTAAGACAATCCAAGCTCTCTTTATGTGTCGTTCCACAATCGTGGAATGACCTACCAAGCGCTGCAAGAACAAGGGTGTCCCTGTCTATCTTCAAGAAACTCTTGAAGACCGAGCTCTTCAAAGAGTATCTCCTATCCTCTTACCTCTCTTACCCTATACCTCCCCACCCCCTCTACCACTCTTCCTGTTCTTCCTTCTGTGTCTACACTGTCACCACCGTTACCTCTGATAGAGTCTGACCAGTCATTTCCCTCTATGTAGATTATTGTCAGGTTGATGCTAACTGTAATGTTGTATGTGGACTGTAAGTCTCTTTGGATTAAAGCATCTGCTGGATGCATGACCATAAACCGGACTAGCAGTGGTGAGGACCGGAGCGCTTTTGCTGGCGAACTTTCAACACATACCTTGCTATGAACCTAGCTCTCCCTGATTAGCCGATAAAAATGTGGGTCGGCAAAAGCCACTGCAGACGACCTGCCCGGTAGAAAACAGCAGTCAAGAAACTTATTCAACCGAGACTCATTCAGAAAGGATAAGTCCTGACAGTTTTTTTTAAACGGAGAGTCGGACGCAGACTCCTCTTGGCATGTTGGAAATCTTTGACAAGGCTGAGCAGTGACCCTGAAGGATTTCTGCGCCCACTGCAGACCAAGTGATTGCTGGATCATAAGGGAGTCATTTGCCTCATTGGGTAAATACCAGTAACATACACAAGTAACACCATTTCAAACAGGAGAAGAAGTTAATGTCTGTCTAAATATCACTCAGAGGGAGGTTATCATCAGGGGAAACCCCTGTGTGAGACTACAGTCCTCCGGTCTCTTGGAAGCAATTAATTCTCTGTTATTTCAATTAAATATTGATAATAATTTATAATCTTTAATGTTTTCATCTTATTTTATTTTGATTTTTTCAACGTTTTTATTTCACCTTTCAAGTAACAACAGTATGTTAAAGAATTCACAGTTGCTATTTAAAGCCATCTGTAAGCAAAAAGGTTTTAGATGTTTTAGAGGGGCTTGTGTGTCAAAGCAGGGGTCAAAATATGATACAGAATCAATTGCCACTTTTATTCAAATTCTATTCGTATTTTGAATTCAAATATGCACTGCTTACATCAATCAGTCTCAACCTTTTACGTCACCGTAAAGAGTCCAAATGACGGTATTGTAATTCTGGTATTGTACAACATCTACTGTACATGCCAGGAAAATTCAAAAAGGGTAGGGCGCACTAAGAATAGAAACCCATTTAAAGATCCACCATTACTTTCTGAGACACCTGTCCATTCAGCCTCTCCAATAAATCCCTGAAGAAGCACGACTTAACATTTCTCTCTACTTCAGAGAGGTAAGAGCAGGGAACAGGGTGTTGATAACTTCCTCGGGAATGGGGCGCTGGCATACCGCGATAGGCAGGGCGGCAATGACGGCAGGAGGGCAAACGCTTTGGTGTGTAGGGGTGGGCCAGTTACCACAGCTGGGTCTTAGAGAGGAAAGATAGGATTGAATTCTCAAGGCACACTCATCAGAGGAGGTAATCTAACGGTACACTAGCCAGACCTCCTGACCAAGAACTAATATTCAGATTATCAAACAGAAGTTGGCGACAGCAGGTTTTTCTGAGCAGGAAGTGGCTAATCTGCTGCCAAATATAACTAGAATCCATCTGTTTCTTTAGATTACCTGCCAGGATTCAATTGAGCTTCCCCATATCTCCCCTCCTGAGAGATTTCCAAATGGCAAAGAGTCAGCTAATCACCCTGCAGCCCCCACATTCACAAGTGTATTTCTATGCAAATGCGAACAGGAAGTGTACAATACTTATTTTACAGCCACTTCTCATACAAGGGAACATGTACAGTGTGGCTGTAATGAGATAATGAGCAGCATTTAGTCAGTGACACACTGTTTGTAATTTTACCCATACGTGCTTCTTTATCTTAGTTATTGTGTACCAGCCTGTGCATCTGTTTATGTGGCTGCTCATCTGCTTTTCCTGTAAGCCAATTTGATTTATTTCAATTCATACACACATGTACATTTAGTTTTATATATGCACTTTTATTTATTTTTTTGATCAGCACTTTATTAACAGATGGTACTCGGCTATAAAAGTGTCCCAGCTCCTCCAATGCATAGCACAACAACTTGATTGGCAAAAATCCAAACCTTAAATTTAGGATTAAAATAGAAGATGGCTAAATCTAATAATAATAATCATTTCTAAAATAATTTCTCAATTTAGAATCGCACTTCCGACTGACCTCAGAACTGCCTAATCTTTGTGATGATTATGGCAAGACTCCGGAGTTAAGAAATTTCAGTGGAAAAAGGCAGAGGACGCAGACGGTGAGTTATACACACCTCTTTATATTAAAAACACAACAACATGGGGATGTTTCTAGTTGGACTGGCCTGCCAGGAGTCCAGATCTGTCTTCAGTTGTAAATGTTTGGTACCCAATATGGAGGAGATTAGACGGTTTTAAAGAAAGGCAAGCAAATTAAACCTTAATTTCAACAAAGAACAGATTCAAGTTTCTTGTATGAATTCAACCAAAAGCATCTTCATTCAAAAATAAATTAAAACTCTCAGGTGTGGGGTTCTTTTGTAAATATATATATTAAATTAAAACTCAAATAAAATTCCGCTAATAGAAAAGGATGTGTTTTCACCTTTCAGAAAACTATACTATCCAAAGCACACCCTGTTAAAGTCCTGAATGTCCTATAGGATTTTTAAAAAAAAACAAAAAAAAACATTAAATCATTTCTAGCATTGAGCAATCAGTAAACTGTACTGAGACTGCAGTCAAGTGTCTCTCACTGAGAGCTAGATTGATAATAGCCACAACATAGCAAACAATAGAGCGGTAACAGATACCCTGTCTATTGTTGGCCTAGCCTGCTCTACTCTTTCCTGTCCCAACTCACTGCTCGGCATGCCAGTATTAGCTCCCACAACTTAACTGCATGCACAACATCCAGTTAAACAAGTACAAGGAAGGGCAATCTGACGTGACCTCACAGTGCCCGAGCTACACCTAAAATGTCACTAAAGTAGACTCGTGATGTTTGGGATCTAGCTATTAAAAGCAGAGTTTGGAACACAATGCCTAGAGTGCGTGTAATCCGACGGTCAGCACATCCATCTACATCAGCAGATGTGTGGCCACAATACTGTACAAATGAAATCGACTTGAACTTGATTGCTCCCAACATCTGTCTGATGGTGGAATGGTTGACTTTGGCTTTTGTAAAAATCCTCAATCAAAGGATTCCCCTTGCATTAAGTCGCTTCTCAGCGCAAAATTAAAGCCAACCAGCTAACCAAACATCCCAGCAGACGGTCCTACGGGGATAAGGGGAACACCTTTTGCTCACTTTTAAAAAGCAGCTACCGGGAAAGATCGTTCTCACCTGAAAGTCCCTGCTCGTCCCGTTTTATTTCAAGAGCTAGTTCTTTCTTCACTAAAGGGGCCTCGAGTATGTTTGTGCCGATGTGTGAGTGTGTGTGTGTGTGTGTGTCCTTCCCCACTGTCCTCCTGCCACATTCCTCTACTACACATCCAGGCCATCACATCATTGTCATGGCGATGGTGGCAGTATCTCAGAGGGATGAGTGATATTAAGAGATTAGAGGGAGATCCTCTATCAGACTTCAGCTGAGGAGCCCAATCCCAGGATATAAAAAAAAAAAACAACT